TCATAGTGAAATAGGGCAATTAATTAAACAGTTACTTAGGCAAAAAAGCATGAACTTGCATATTTCTGATAAAGAACTGAGCTGTTCAAGTGATGTCTTGAGCAGCTCAAGTGATTCAGACGAAGATGTTTGTGATGGCCATAAAAAGAAAGAATTGATCAGTTCAACCTACCCCGACAAAAAAATCATGATGTCTTTGAAGAAAAAGAACCCAGCAGTCAAAGGGATTCCGAAAAAGATGTTAGGGATATCGACAAAGGCAACCAACCAAGCAGTTCAAGCAATTCCGATGAAGATGACAACAAACCGAGCAGTTCAAGCAGTTCTGACGAGTATGTTTGTGATACTGCTTCACTGCACCGAAACAATATTTGCAATCATTTTGCCTTCCAATGTTGTGAATCAGATACTGAATCAGGGACTTCTACAGGCTGCAGGCCAAGTGATGAAGTCAGTTCTGATGAGCAAAGATCTTGCAAAGATAATTACAAGATTTGGAAAGATCTTGATAAGATCATACTAAGATCTTGACAAAGATCTTATTAAGATCTTGTTAAGATCATGTTAAGATCATGGCATGATCTTGGCAAGATTTTATAAGTTTATAATTTTAAAAACTCTGTTAAGAAATACAAGATCTTATCAGGATCTTGACAAGATCTTTAAAATATCTTGAAAAGATCTTGTAAAGATCTTGACAAGAATTTGATAAGATCTTTTAAACTATGGTACAAGATCTTGCAAAGATAATTACGAGATCTTGGAAAGATCTTGATAAGATCATACTAAGATCTTGACAAAGATCTTATTAAGATCTTGTTAAGATCATCACATGATCTTGGCAAGATTTTATAAGTTTATGATTTTAAAACCTCTGTTAAGAAATACCAAGAACTTATCAGGATCTTGACAAGATCTTAACAAGATCTTGCCAAGATCTTGAATACCTAAGATCTTGGATAACTTAATACAAGATCTTGCCAGATCTTCCATGATCTTGCAAGATCTTCCATGATCTTATCAAGATGCTCAACCTGGGAATTGTTGCATAAAAGATCTTCATTGCCACATAATTTTTTGGAATGAACAATGCTGCAAAATTTGTTATTTTTTGCCACACCATATCAGAAGCCCACTCTAGCTATTAGACTGACACCTTAAAGATCTGCATGAAACTTTGCATGGCTCTGTCTTATAGTAAGTACAGAAGAATAAAATTGGGGTCCTGTATCATAATATGTTAAATTACGGTGTCCAAATGCAGGTGACATAAAAAAATGTAACCCAAGATATATTCCTTGGCTTCATGTGAAATAGATTTCTATACCTTGAAACGAAATGTTTAGATATTTAAAACTAAACAGTCAAGATAACAAAGTAGACTTACATCTTTATAGAACACATCGGAATTATTCTCCACATCATAGGCCAGCAAATTAGTGGCTGTCCCAACTAAAAGGGTGTCACAGTTTGTCGTGCTCAGTTTGCCGACAGCAACAGCAGACACTTGCTGGTTGATATTCAAGATGCTCATATCATTGTCATGGTGGCTTGTTAGCCGGCCACCTTGTGCATTGCTGGTATGTGGGTTATGAATAAAAACCTTTAAAGGAATCAGTTCAAAGCAACAAAACATTAAGGTATGAATGAATAATATTATTTAGTAATGATACGAAAAGATATACCTGAATAATAATTAACAAATATAACCATAATCTATAAATGGGCTATCCAGATGTCCAGTGCACACACAAACGGACCAATCACAGTGCACTTTCAATGGCCCTAGCTCCAAGTCCTAGATTCCCAATACAAAAAAAGGGAAATAGCCAAACACCCAATTGATCTGGAATAATGACACATTAATGACAACACGGCAAAAATGAGGTGTCATGAAGCCTGCAAAGAATAAAAAACATGCCTGCCAAAAAGTTTGAATAAAAACATATAATTCTCATGAATTCTTTGTCACGGTTATCAAGCATGTATTAGCAACATTATTTCTTTCATTTGGTGGCCTGGAATCCATGATTTCAAGAGGAAAAGTGACACCTTAGTTTTGCAAATTATCTCGATTCTCATTGGCTAGCATTTTTTCTCAGATCAGATCAGCTGGACTGGCCAATAAAAGCAAGCATACAACAATTTGAAAACAATATAAAAAAGGTGCTAATTTGAAGTTCAAAAGATATTTCTCAGTGCCTATAAAGGCAAACGAATAACAGGTTTTCGGTACTTTAACAGGGTTTATTAATACTGTATAAGCACTGTTTGCTTTAAAAATTTCAAAATAACAAATTTATTTAACCTTATAGTACTGTGTGTTTTGGGCCAAATCGTTGTCTCAAGAAATTTAACAACATCACCTTGACAATTCTTTATAATTTAAAGTTTTCCCTGACTTGTGAAATTTACAATATTTAAAACAGACGTTTCTGTCTAAACAAAGACCTCCATCTCCTTGACAACTTTGTCAATTATCTGTGAAAACGTTTTCATTTGGCAAATATTACGCGTAAAGGAATGTATATTTATAATCTTTACCCATTCCTCTTCAAAATTATTTTCTCATAAGCAATAAACAGTTTATTCTAGAGGTTTTCTGCTAACCTTTCCTGCAGTTGTAGCGCCTGTCAAACACGGATGTATTCCATCATATTTTCCAATAGCTGTTGTTCTAGCGTGAACTTTTTGCCCAAGTTTTAAAGTAAAAATCGGAACCAACATCTTAATTGAATCTCAGAGACTTCCTTCGCGTTTCCTTGCTGAAAAAATGAAGATCGGAAGCGAATTTGAATTTTAAATTACATATTTTTTCAGTAGTTCAAATCACATTTTGATCTTTGATGGTTTAGTTGCTGCTTCTTGGAAACCAACAATGCGCAGTTACCTGTACGCATATGGTTTGATGGAAAACAGCTGATATTTGTAACCACAGGAAACCCACCGGGTTCGAAGCTAGGCTAATAAAAAAATCATGGACAAGTTTCTTTATCTAAAAAATCCATAGAGAAAATGATTAACTTATAATTGGATGAAAAAATATTTTTAGATAATAAAATTAGAAAAAGCTATGAAGTAAAGTGTTCATAGAAATATTATATGTTCCCACTTTTCAAGAGAGACAATTAAGACTGAGGTCCAAGCAGTTGCCCACCTTAAAAAAACTAAAGAATGATTAGGATAACAATGCATGGTGTTTGAAAAGGTGCACGTGTGTTGACTTTGGCACGAAAATATTTTTTCTCGATTACGAGGTAAAAATTTGAATTTAATATTTTTTTTAAATCGTAGAACTTAAGGGGATTTAGAAAAGTTGTTTTTTTGTCATTTGTCATTTTACACACTGTAATTGATTTTTCTTTATTAAATATATAAATTATATATAATAATAATAAATAAATTCCACAAAAACTTTGCATCAAAAGCGCGCTTTTCCAGAATCCAAACAATAACCTCCAATCACGCGTGAAATAGCTAAATGGTTTGAATTTCACTTGACCAATCAAAACAGCAGTGACGTCAGCTCCAGCCAATCAGCGATAAGGGCAGATGGCGGACAATTTGAAGTGTCGATGGATCAACTATCAAAGTCTCGACAATAAAATCCTGGGTCCGATGAGCAGTTTGCGCGCTTTTAGAGATTTTGCTCTCTAAATCTTCCCCATAAAACCCTCCGAGATGGCATCCTCTTATTACTACAGGTAAGAAAGAAGTTTTTGAAGTCCATGAAGGTGAAAAAAGGACTTTGATCGTGTTTAGTTTGGTAAAGTTGGTTGGTAAGGATTGCGCGATTTTCTTCATTCGTCACCCTTCCCCGCCATTTTTGTCCAAAGTGATCCTTGAATTTCCATACAATACTAGCCTTCTGATTTCTTACTACATATTCCTGAAGTATTTTCTAGTTCTCAAATTAGTAGCTAGTACTTCTATAGTCCAAAAATCTCTGGATTATCAAAGATCGCTCAGCTCAGTAATGTTGTATTTGTTTGTGCCGTGCGAGGGATAGAAATCGACACGACGGGGGTACAATTTTCAATATTGTTTTAAATTTTTACGAACTTATAGGCTCTTTAGACTCCTATTTGGAGCTTTTTACGACCTAGTTTTACTGTAGAAATACTTAAAAATTAATTAGTAAAAGTCGCTTGAAATAATTGACAGAAAATATTTATTTATGACCTCGCGAAAAGCACACAGTAATTCTAGTTACCAAGCTAAGCGCGCTCGGCCAAATATGGATGGACGTGGGTATGTGGGGTAAGGAAAACTCACTCAAATCAGTCTTAATGGCATTTTCTTAACTCGATTATGCCTTAGTGGTCACCTTAGGGTTTAAATAAAGTAGATTTGGATCCAAAGTGCATTATTGTGATTTTTCGTAGACGGCATAGCTGTGCTTTTGGACTGTAAATGAACATCCGGGGAATCTTTACGTGTGCTAACACGTGCAAATCTCTCTGTGCTTGTGGTGCGTCGCGTCTGGATTTTGCTTCACAAACACGGGTCGTTTTGTAGTATGCCACCCCATTGTAAAACCAGGGACCCTTTAGAATGAAAATCGCCTCATCTCGACGAGATGTTGCTTTTGCTTCAAGCTGCAGAATCAATCGCTTCCAAGTAAGTCACCAAAATGGTGTTAAAATCGCTGGTAAATTGATGGTCTTGCGGTCTTTGAATAGATGCCAATTGGTACCGTGCAAGCAAATCCGAACGTTACGTTCCTACAGCAAAGGATCAATAAAAACCCTTTGCTCCAAAAGCTCAGCTCTTATTTTATCCTTTCTACTCTAAAACTAGTGACTACAGCTATAAAGTTAACGATGATGAAGAGGACAGCGGAGCTCAGAGAAGTTATCGCAAAAAGAAGAAAATTAATAAGGGTCGATGGACGAAGGACGAGGTAAAGTTATGATAGCGAAGCGCTTTAGCCACACCGTTAATAACTTAAGCTTACTTGTTTATTAATTCCCAAAAAATAATCATTTATTTTCCAAGTCTCTTTTTTCGATTTTTCTCAGAAATATTGGTCTTTCCTTGGTCATTCTTTTCTATGTTTCACTTTGTAAGCTTATGAAGTGCAGTTTGAAAATTTTTTTTCATGGGTTTGTTTTGTGTTTAAGCTCTCAGCGAAGCATAACGACGAGATGGACCTTATTACATCTTTTTAACCGAAACAAAATGTGTATTTGGTCTTTTGAAAGACAGTTTCTCATTCCGACTAATATTTTGGTGATTCGAATCTTTGATCGAAGGTTCCAAGCTACAGGGGATGTTCATTTTAGTTTTTGGCCTGGCATGAATCAAGCCGTATTTGCGTAAGCTTCTAGGATTCATATTTGAATCTCGAATGTCCGTTAAAAGGAGTCAAATGACTATATATAGACAAATGCGCATAGTCAAAATTATTGCTAGAGATGTGTTTTAAGATGCGCAAGTGTTCCTCAAAATGTCGAAATAAAAATCTGGTTCTTCAATCCTGGAAAACGGGAGGTTTAAAGGGACAAAAACATTTGATCGCCAAAATGTACAAAATGGAAATTTGATGTTAATTCATGAAACTTGACCCTCTAGTTGATGTTGTCCTCAAGCAATACTATTATCTACCTTGATTCTATCGGGATTTCTACACCTTTTTGACCAAAATGCATTAAAACGCTACTGAATAGCTTAAGTGAACTATTAGCTCTTGCCAGCGTTAAAAGAAATGTTGAATATTGGTTTTCTAAAAAATATATATCTCTAAAGATTGGCGTGCTGAAATCAAGGTATGCATGCATAATGTTTGGTTAAGTGCTTATGCTGCACTGTCATGTTATTCGAGGTGATTGGCTAAAAGGTTCGAATGCAAATTTTAAGTCTAAAAAATACTAAAAATACAACAAAAACCCTAAAGTAAGACAATTGTACGCAAAATAATAATTTTTTTTTACACAACTTTTATAAATAGCTGCCAATAATTTCTATAAAAATATGATATTCCATGTTTTTGGAGTGAAACCCCTTTTAAATCATGAAGTTTTGGTTGATTTAGATAATAAAAGAGTTTTAGTATTTTGAATAAAAGTAATAAATCCTTGACAAGATGTAAGCATTGCAAGGCCACCATGGCCTTTAGCAATGGATACATACAAAATCTTCCCAAAAATATTTGATCTTTCATAACCTCTTTGGTATTCAGTCAAATTTAACAAAAAAATAGTTTCCATGAAGTACTTTCTCAAATAGTATTATGGTTTCTGGTAAAAAAAACTCATTTTCTCTAACAGAAAAAAAAAAGATGTATGAAAGTCCTGTATGTACTTATTCATATGAAAAATTTGTAGTAAAAAAAGTAAATAAAATTATAATTTAAAGTGACATAATTTAGATTAATGTTTTTTTATATAATATTGCAAAGGGTTTAAAAGTTTTTTTCATAAATTTTTCTGTTAAGTCACTTTTCCATTTTCACCTTGATGCAAAATTTATTCCCACATTAGATTGTAATTATTGAAAGCCGAAAACAAAGAGACAAATCCAGTTAAATGGACAGTGGAACTCGCACCAACCATATGCATTATTAGCTTGAAAGCCTGGTTTGTTCACTACCATCTGTTCTGCTTCATGCAAATCCAGATCTAGAACTTTATTGTTCTAGATCTGTAAATTTGTTGATTGTTCTAAGCAATTAGTTGCAGTCTGCCTCAGTTGTTTTGATTTCCAAGCCAATAAAAATTGTAAAGATCACTTTGAATATGTCAATTATTGACTCAGCGATATTGCTACTACGTGTATTAGTTGATGTGCGAGATAACGCAAAACATTTGATGCACAAAAAATGCCATTAGCATATTTGAATCAGACGTGCCCTGACTTAGACCAATTCAGAGACCTGACTTTACAATATTTATACTAGTTTAACGATCTTCCTTTAAGAGTTTTTCCCTGTATTTTCATACACTCAATTGCAAATTCATTGTCGGGCTCAAAAACAGAACAAGGCTAAATCTATACGAATGAGTCAAAAGTCATGAAATACAGCAGTATTTACCAAATGAAAAAAAGTTTACCAATCTTCTGATAAAATATGATATTTTTCATTCAGGATGACAAACTGAAAGACCTTGCTGGTGAATATGGGCCAAGTAATTGGAAAGATCTGGCAAATAAATTTCCTGATCGCACTGATACACAGTGCCAGCAGAGATGGCAAAAAGTTCTTAACCCTGAGCTAATTAAGGGTCCATGGACAAAAGAGGTAAGCAAAAGTATGGTGTCAAGAGAATGCAGAAGGGGTACACAGGGTTTTTCAATAGAAGTTGGCAACCGACAGATTCCACCGTCTACTCTTGTTAATTCGGCCGCCTACTTAGCCACTTCCCAAAGTAATTGTAAATTTTGATTAAAGTTCGTTAAAATAAATTTTAACCCAATCTTTGTTGCTAAACTACGCTGTGAAAACTGCAACGCAATCGGAATCACAACAATCATTGTCTGTCATCTTGAATTTTTGTGAGAAGAGTGAGACTGGTGACAAGTATGCCTCGATTACATGCTCCAGTGATTTCTGGTTTACCGCCTATTTTACTTTCATAACCACTGACCAGTCAAAGATATAAAAGACCTAGGTACTGACGGATTACTTTTGATTGACATCTGCAAAGAGAGGGGGGAAAACAAATTTAATCAAAAGGGTTTGTTAAACATGTCTAAGGATTCCGACTCCAAATTTCAAACGCAAAGCTAAAGGTATTGACTTACCTGATCTTGAAGAAGCTCAAATCATAGTCAATACCGATAGCTTTGCAGTCAAGCCATTGAGATTCGGAGCCGAGAGATTCACAGCATGAGATAAGAGCAACGGTTTTTGCACATGTTTATGTGAGTATTAACACCAGCCCTGGTGTAGAAACCAATAGAAACCCTTTCGATTGATGTACACCCAAACTCAATTTTTTGTTTGTGATGAAGGTCTACTTGGTCACGTGTGACTGGGAATAGCAGTAATACTCACTCTGAAATTGTTTTTGAGTGCACTGATTTATAGTTTATGACAACTATTTCCTGTGTTTGATACTTTGATCAAAACATGCAGGGTGCCTAGTGAACATGAGAAAAATCACAACACACAGCGAGTGGTTTACAGCTTCTCGATTGTTCTCTCAGCATCCATGCATGGTGTTATGATCAGCATATCAATCATGGAAAACTGTCATATATTTTTTTCATAAAATAACAAGCACACAAAATAACAATGAATACTGTTTAATTTTAATTTCCCTGTGAACATTCAAATTAAAAAGTGGGAAAATGATGTGAAAGTGTTTGTTACTTTAATCAAAGATGTTTTTTGACCAATAATCGCACATTTTATCTATCATTTTATCATATTTATTTATTTATCGTTTCACAGGAGGACGAGAAAGTAGTTGAACTGGTTGCTAAGTATGGTCCAAAGAAATGGTCTCTTATTGCGCAACACCTGAATGGGAGAATTGGAAAACAGTGTAGAGAAAGGTCTATAAAAATGCTAGTTTTTTGTTATTTCATAATACATTATTGTTATCTGATGACTAAATAGATGTCTTTGCCTTATTGGCTATAATAAATGGGAATTAATGGTGGCATAGTGTTAGGAGTTTAAAAATGGCAATAAAAACCGTAAGCGGCTAGAACAGGTTGAATAAACCCGTTACACCTGGTTACAGCCGAACCCGCTACAACTGATTCAGTTACAACCCCTTAGAGCCGCTTCAGAATATACTAAAAGTACTAGCATTATACTTGGCAATGAATCTGCTACAACGGGTTGACTAACCCGTTACAGCCAAACCCGCTGCGACTGGTTCAGCTTCAACCATTACAGCGGCTTCAGAATATACTAAAAGTACAAGTATTATACTTGGCGATGAATCCGCTACAATGGGTCGACTAACCCACTACAGTCGAACCCGCTACGACTGGTTCAGCTTCAACCATTACAGCGGCTTCAGAATATACTAAAAGTACAAGTATTATACTTGGCCATGAGTCCGCTACAATGGGTTGACTAACCCACTACAGTCGAATTCGCTACGACTGGTTCAGCTTCAACCCTTTAGAGCGGCTTCAGAATATATAGTCCCCAGATATAATTATGTTGATAGTTACATCGTTATTTACATTACATTGTTGAGTTGTACTCAGAACACTGTATTATTTATCATTTGAAAAATATTTTTTTGTTACAATGAAAGGAATAAGAAAAAAAAAGAAACCAGTTTAGCCAGCTTTTTTAACTATTTGACATTTCCAATTACTAAATCTCATTATGAACACAAACAAAAACATTAGTAATGACAAAATGAATTAAACTAATTAATAAATGTTTCATCATTTTGCTATATTTACCATACGCGCGAGTGTCACGGTAAAAGTAGCTTTGTCGATATCTCTGGTAATAAATTCATTTCAAATTCCTGTACCAACACTTTTACTCTTTATTTTATTATGAAAGAGCTCTCACCGGTTGAAGCTGAACCAGTCATAGCAGGTAATAGTACTTTTACTTTTAGTATATTCAGAAGCTGCTCTAATGGGTTGAAGCTGAACCAGTCGTAGCGGGTTCGACTGTAACGGGTTAGTCAACTCGTTGTAGTGGATTTATCACCAAGTATAATACTTGTACTTTTAGTATATCTTGAAGCAGTTGCAACAGGTTGAAGCTGAACCAGTCGTAGTGGGTTTGACTGTAGCGGGTTAGTCAACCCATTGTAGCGGATTCATCGTCAAGTATAATACTTGCACTTTTAGTATATTCTGAAGCCGTTGTTATGGTCGAAGCTGAACCAGTCGCAGCGGGTTTGACTGTAGCCGGTTAGTCAACCCGCTGTAGCGGATTCATCGCCAAGTATAATACTTGTACTTTTAGTATATTCTGAAGCGGCTTTAACGGGTTGAAACTGAATCAGTCATAGCGGGTTCGGCTGTAACGGGTAAGTCAACCCGCTGTAGCGGATTCATCGCCAAGTATAATACCTGACTTTTGGTATATTCTGAAGCCGTTGTAACGGGTTGAAGCTGAACTAGTCGTATAGCCAGTTCGGTAATAACCAGTTTTAACGGGTTTTTATTTAACCCATTCTAGCAGCTTACTTTTTTTGCCAATTTTTGTGGTGAAGTGCACAGCTCACCTCAAGGTCAGGCTCAATGAGTCATTTGCAAGAAATAATCATAGGTGACTACTGGATGGCAGAAATTTGGGCTTCCTTCATTTAAATAACTTGCTGGATTGCTAATGTCACATCCAAAACCTTTTTCAAAATACTGCTTTTCTCTTATTATAAAATACTTTGGTTTTCAAGCTAAGACACAAAGCAATTTGATGTTTGTTTGCCATCCAGCAGAGCATTCCCCAAAGGACTTTTGGCTGAATTGATTCGTTATCAAAGTAATACTGTATGTCAGCATGTGGCTGTTTGTTGCAAATGACCTCTGCATGTTCAATTGTCCTTTGATTTGAGGGTTTTCTTTGGTTTTCCTCACTCAGAAAAATCTAACAAGCTAAAGTCCAAACCTGGAGTTGTGCCCTGACTATGATTAGCCTACTGGTTGTTCAAGGCTTAAAACAATGGTCAGATATTTGCCAGACATGACCATGCCACTGGCCAAATTAGTTTTAGCTCTGTCATACCTTGTTTTGGCTCAACATTATAAGTTACGAGTCGAAATGATTGGCAAGGCAAAAATTTGACCAGACAATTTCCAATTCTGGCTGGACATTGCCTGATGACTGGCTGTTCTTTTAAGCCATGCCATTTTCAGGTTATCAATAAATTTTGAAGGTTTTTTTTAAATAACACCATCTTGGGTATGCTTTTGTAGATGGCATAACCACCTCAACCCTCACATCAAGAAATCAGCCTGGACAGAAGAAGAAGACAGGATGATATATGAAGCACATAAGAAACTGGGCAATAAATGGGCTGAAATTGCCAAAGTCATTCCTGGAAGGTGTGTACCGTAACAGTAACACCTTTATAACAAAACTACCATGTTACATAGTCATCAATCCACAACAAACTAATCTAACAAGTATATACTTACCCTTAAAGGAAAAATATACCCCTCTGCACATATTTTTGTACTTGAAACAAAAAGGATTTAAAAAATTTAACTCTGCTGGCATATGTAGAAGATCTTTTTGTAAGGATCTAAAAACCCTTTAAAGTTGGAGTTTTTTTCACATTTTTACTCATATTTTATTATTTCCAATCTAATGAAAAGATTTCGAAAATATAATCACCTTTTTTTTTCAATTTTAGAACTGATAATGCCATCAAGAATCACTGGAATTCTACCATGAGACGGCGAGTTGAATCGTTTGGTTTTGATCACTATAAAAAGAACAGATATAGTGTGAGTAAATAAATTTGGATTATTATCTAATATTATCTCCAAGAGAAATCTCCTAAGATATCTTGGAATTTGCTCAAAAATTAGGAATCCTGTTAACGCTGGTTATGACTTTTTTAGGCGGAAAAACCTAGGCATGGAAGACCTTTGTCAGCCAAGAAAGGTAATAGAGTAACTCACAATTAAGAGCAAATTGGAAAAAAAATTGTGTTCAAACATTGTTTCTATTGGCTGCAACATACTTCTATTGCAGTATATAAGAGATTTTCTTTCCATGTATTGTCATATTCAATAGACCTTAAGTGACTATGAAAAAATGGTTTCAAGTTGAGATTGAACTTGAGAAATACAAGAAATGTATTCATGAACTCAACACCATTGCATGTTCTAGATCTGTGGACTTCACTTAAGGTGGCTGCATAGCTCCATATAGTTTTTGTACATTTGTGCGCCAGGTTGTGTACAAGCATGCGCAGATTGAACCAGAATTTGAAGAATTTATATTTTGCAGGCGCCACAAAAATATCGTTGACACGGGTAATCTTTTTTCGGAAACAACTCAAAAACTAGATGGCCAAATCTCTTCAAAATTCTATATTCTTTTTATCATATAAAGTTTAAACAGTTTTCAAAAGATTTTGAAATTCGGTACTGTGGAATTTGTTTTATTCAGCAAATTCAAGATTTTCCATTATTTGAAATTCTGTAGTACCAAATGCTTTGGCATTGTGTGGAATGAAAGGTGAGGTAATGTAATCTCATTACAGAAAGTTGTAAAAACACTCACAGTGGAAAACCTGAGTTGTCAATTTTCAAAGAAAAGAATGACCTTCATTATAGCTGATGTAGTGTTACTATGGTAACCTCATATGTCATCAGTTCCACGAAAATTTAATTCCTAAACTCATGAACTTTAACATGGTTGGCATGTTGGGTATCAATCTGTGATCCTGCATTTAACCAAAGATTACTATTTCCTATTTAATTTGTTGGAACTACCAAAAGCTCTAGGGACCCACCTTAAGAGTGGCTGTCCGTAACGGTCGAGAATGGCGGGACAGCGAAGGAATTTTCAAATTTCTCATATTTTGTCAGAAGACAACCTTTGGTAAGCTCTTTTAAAAAATCCAGTTT